GGGGGGAGAGAGAGAGGTGATCTGGGTTAGTAAAAATTGCAATAATCAGCGAAACAATAGGGACTCGAGTATAAAGAAAAATACCTGGTAAATAAATAAATAAATAAATACTATAAGGGTAAGCAAGGGGCCTGCTATACTGTAAAGACAGAGAATACTAAAATACGGTAAAACATACTACATGACAGTAAATGTATTTAAAGTTAAGAATTGGCCAATTCCAATAATTTTCTCCATTTTCTCCATTCCTCATTAAAACTTAACTGTGCCTGTTCACCTTTACTATTGGCAATATATTTCTGAAAGGTATAAAATTCCCTGACTGAATAAATAAGACTATATACACTTAAGGCTTTGTGTTGACATCTTGCCTTATATATGTAATATTTAATGATAATTAAGATTTCATTGTCAAGTTTGCTACTGATTAACTGATTTTTATTAGCAATGAAACCAAACAGAAAACTTATTTTATTGAAGGAAAATGGAATAAAAAGAGCCTCCAGCAAAACTTCTACACTTTCTAAAAATTTTTGAACTTCTGGACATTCCCACATAATATGAATAATTGTCTCCTTTTCTAAGTTACAGAATGTACAGTGTGGGTTATTCAGTAGTCGAATTTTAAACATGTATAAATTTGTTGTTAAGATGTGTTGAACCACTCTGTACTGAAACCATTGAAGTTTTGTATTTTTTGTTGCACGAATACAATTTTTATAAATATCCCTCCAATTTAGAACATCAAATTCTAATATTTCTTCCCATCTTTTCCTCCCAGTAGAAATTATATCGTTTTTTACTAAAAGATTATATATATCTTTTGACCCATTTCCTTTTTTTACAAAACACTCAATACTACTTGGAATGGTTGGAAAAACTTGAGAGGTACATGTTCTTACAAAGTCAGATCTAGCTAAATATGACTTAACCACAGAGACCACACCATGGTATTCAAGGAAATTTGAATTTACATTATAAATTTGCTTAAAATCTTGAAAAGTGTAGAAAGTGCCAGTAGAAAAATCTTTGAATAAATCATTAACTATCATCACTCCCTTATCATACCATGTCTTGTAGAATATACTTGTCTTCCCTATCAACAAATCTTTATTATACCATAAAGGAGTTTTCCAAATATTTTTCTTAACATATTCTACCCCCACCCTTTCACTGAACCTCAACAGGGCTTTGAAAACATCACTCCAGAAATTATTTCTACAGATATTACAACATTTCTGAATGTAATCACTACCACAGGAAGATAGCATATGTAGGTCAATATATGTTTGAAGAATTGCTTGCCATTTAGCAGATTTCTGGTGTAATCTTCTAATCCAGCCTAATTTCAGACTATCTATAAACAACTTTATATCTACCATTTTAAGTCCACCGTTATCAAAATTCTGGGTAACAATATCTCTCTTTACCTTGTCAGTTTTACTGTTCCATAAAAAGCTAAAAAGGATGGAATTGAGCTTATTCAAGAACTGGTTGTCTGGGTTTGGCAAAGACATAAATAAATGGTTAAACTGTGATATCATTAAAGATTTAATAAGATGAATTTTCCCAATTGGAGTCAGTGATCTCATATTCCACATCTTAATGATAGATTTCAATTTAATTAATTTTTATCATAGTTTAATTTTGGAATTTCATGAAGATTGACACTGAATTCAATTCCAAGAAGCGTGAATTTGACCTTTCCCCACTGTAATTTCAAGTCAGGCAACAAAGTATCTTCACTATATTTTTTACTTCCTATCCAGATCATTTGTGTTTTGTCAATATTTAGATTCAAACCAGAGAATTTTGCGAAAGCATTCAATTCTAAAATAGATTCTTTTAATGATATTTCAGAGCCATCTAATATAAGAGAGGTGTCGTCTGCATATTGTGAGATAAGAATTGGAATATTACTGATGTTTATACCCTTAATGTTTTTGTTATGTTTTAGTTTAATGGACAAAATTTCAACACAGAGAATAAAGATATATGGCGCGATTGGATCACCTTGTCGACAGCCCCTTCTTATATTGATGGATGAAGATACATTACCACCTTGATTAACAAAAGCACTGACATTAGTATGAAAAACTTTTATCCATTTACGAATATCTGGACCAAAATTAAAGAATTTGAAAACCTTGTCAATAAATTTCCATGAAACGGAATCAAATGCTTTCTCAAAATCTATCATTAACAGCGTTCCGGGAATATTTTTTTTCCTCTACATGTTGCATAATGTCATATATTAATCTTGTGTTCTCCCCAATATAACGACCTGAGATAAAACCTGACTGATCCTCACTAATTAATGTGTCTAAAACTTTCTTAATTCTTCTAGCTATGGTTCCTGATGCAATTTTATATACTATATTCAACAATGTAATTGGTCGCCAATTCTTAAGAAATTGTCTAGACTTATCTCCCTTTGGAATACATACTATAACCCCCTGCCTTTGTGTTACCGATAACCTCCCTTTTTCATAACCCAAATTAATAGACCTTAAAATGAACCCCCCAAGATATTTCCAAAAACATTTAAAAAACTCGACAGTAAAACCATCCGTACCTGGGCTTTTATTATTTTTCATACACTTCAAAGTAATTGTTGCTTCCTCCAAAGTAATTTGCCCTTCTAAACTTTCTGAAACAGCGTTGTCTAATTTCAAAACATTACAACTATTTAAGAGATCATTTAAATTGACATCTTCTACACTTCTATTATCATCATATAATTTTTTGTAAAATGACCGTACTTCTTCAAGAATTTCATCTTGTCCAGTTAATGTGCCCTTATCCTCTGTTTCTAACTTGGGTATAATTTTGGAGGTAAAATTTCTGTTTTCTAGATTGAAAAAAATATTTTGTTGGTTTTTCTCCTTCCTCTTGCCATCTCGCTCTAGATCTAACAATGCTACCTTTAATCCTATCTAATCTTATTTTTTCTAATTCCTTGTTCAAATGCTCTAATTTCTCTGTATCTACATGGTCTTGATCTTCAATGTTTTGTATTTCATTTCTTATACTTTTTTCAGCCATATTTTGTTGTTTTTTTCTGTGAGATGAATATGAAATTGTTTTGCCCCTGATTTCCATCAATAAAGTTTCTAGAAAAAGCTGGTCATCAATCATGAACTGTAAGTCTGTAACATACGTCACACTTAATAGATTCAGAATATATCTGCTACTGACGCCACAAAATTACCCAGAGAAATAAAAGAATAAAAAAGTATTGAAAGAAATAGACATTTTCATCAGACGATGACAAACTCTAAGAATAAAACTGTGGAAGGAAATCATCGCTAGTATTTTCGATTTATCCTTTTTGAATCTGTAATTTCTTTCATTAGTAGTGACACAAAGGAAGAGAAATGGAATTATTTAATGATAAATAATGAATAATCCATTAATAACTTAATACATATTAATTACTTGACCTATATTTTAATTTTGATGTCTGCCTTCGTTATTACCGTCGGTAAATCGTGTCTAGTGAAAATTGTCTTTAATTCTGGATAATGATTTATAATTAAGCCACCATGACACCAACGAGTATTGAACCTATCTACATTCATATTGCCAATGTGATACAAATTGTTGTTTTCTTTATATTAGGAACAATGAGATTATTCTATATGGAATCGACATGTAAAAAATAGCCTTATACTGACATTACTTATATCTTGTTAGCACAATATCAGAAGAACGATTCCGATGCGATTGGTGAATGATGACTTATGTTTACCTTTCTTATTTGTTTGGATAAGAACTCGAAAGATAGCATTAAAATGATTTGAGGAAGATAGCATGTGTTTTGATTAGGCACCTGGTTTTGTGGACTGTCTTTTTGGAAAGTTTCATTCACGGTCGTTAGAGTGATCTCATTGAGAAATATTCTGTTTCTTTGTACGATATGAAGTTGGACGTGTTTGATGTTCGTTAGTTTGTCTGTTGATTTCGTTATTGAAGACCTTGTTCTTATTTGAGAACGTGACATTGCTTACTTGAATTGACCTTTAAATGTATGGTATCGTCGATGAAGCAGAAGACTATGGATCTTCCGGAACACCTGGTCTTCTCCGTGTACTTTTTCATGAGTCTACCTGTAAATCTTTTTTTGTTCCTATTTTGCTCTAGTTTTATTTAATTTGGGTTTGGATTATGGTTCTGTTGACATGCTGGTATTTTTTGTTTAGTTTTTATTTTAATATTGCAAGTGAAGAATACATTTAAATGCGTGCAGTTAATCCAGTCAAAAAGAAATACGAGATCACAGCTCAAATTCTTAATGCTTTTCATCACATAAACACCTGTTATGCAGTGAAATCGCCCATACAAGTTTTTAACGTATATATCACTAGGGCAATATACCCTGTAGCGTGTTTCCTCGGCTGTGTCAGTCAAAAAAAAGTTAAGTCATAATATGGGCAATGACATTTCGTGATAAAAATGGCCTCCTTTGTTTGATTTTGCTTCGCCATTTTTACTTTTTTAAATTTGTGAAATGGTACCTACTCTGAGTTTATGAAAAGTATCCCAAATTTGTTTTCATTTCAGGAAACTCGTCTCCATTAAATGTTTGCTCGCCAAGGCTCGCAAAAGGACTGGCACAAAAATATCATTTTAAGATCCCATCTATACCTGTATATGACAAATAACATGTTTAGATGTTCATACTATATGAACTACAAACAGATTTTGGGATAATGAATTTTTAGGTGCGTCCTTGTAGTTTTACGTGCGTACTAGTAGTTGGACATCTGGACTACGGACTCATAAAACACAGGTTGCGACAAGAACACGGACATATACACATTCTTTAATCTATTTTAAATTTTGATAAATATTTTCCATTTACTCAATCTCGTAAAAACTTTGCGCGGGAATTTTCACAATGTTGATAATATTTACAGTGTTTTTTAAATGTTGAGACTCTGTGTCAGGAGAACACAAATGAGAATGACGACCGAGAAAAAAACTATATCGTATCGTGTCTATCTAATCATCATCAGGGTGCCCTTCAACGGATAAAAATACTCATTTGGGTCAGGAAAATTCACCCAGTAAGCTACTTTCTTCGTTGCCCTTGTGTCAGACGGGTAGCCGCCGTTAAGGTTGGCTCGCGTACATTTTTTATGCCACCAACCACTTTGTCGTAGTACTCCACAGTTCTCATCGTCGATATCATTGTCTCTGTCAAAGGTCGTGAAGTCGAAGCCATTGTCGTTTTCCATGGCATCATCTGAGCAATAAAAACAATTTTGTATACAACAAGGTTTATCAATGACGCTGACTTCAATTGTACTTCCGACTGATACAAAAATCTGCGCGTTCAAAGTTTTGTACTTCTCGTTTTGAAAGGTGGGTATAACACAGAACCTTTCACTACCTGGATAGTTTTTAAAAAATGAAAGAAAATGTTTTCTGCTTTATATTTGTTCAGTTTCAGTATACTTTGTGGGTTCATTTTTTCACGGTTGGAAGGAAATATTTCATTTCATTGACTATTCCTTAATTGTTAATCTAAATTCAAGTTGTGTATTATAAACAATCCTCAAAAATAGCGAAAAGAATTCTCCCGGAAATTACAGACTTCACAATAATTTATTAGAAACAGGGCCTATACCCGGATGTTAAATCAATCAAACGGTGGGATGTATTTACAGGATAAAAAACAAACATTTTATATAAAGACTTACACAAAGTGCCGGAAAAACCTGTTACGAAAATTCTATAATTTTGATCTTCGTTTGCCACCTGGAACTGTGAGTACTGAACGTTTGCCGTTGTCCCGTTATAGGCTGTTAATTCCACACGTAGGATCCTCGGGACGGGTGTTAGAAGGTTGAGGATATCGTTGCCTTTGACAAAAGAAGGTGGAGAGTAAAATTAGAATTTCTTATCATTCTTACACATAACACATTCCTTATATATCTTTATTTATTACATAATTGGCGTGCTAGATTACACACATGTAATATAACCTTTTACGACGTCGATCTCGGGCTAAGATCCTGTAACATCCTAACTTCGGTTAATGTCTCGTTTTGGATTATGTTACGAGATCTTATCCCTCGACAGGGATACCCTGATCCTCTTCAGTAACAGGTAATAGATTTTATTAGTCACATCGTGCAGTAGGTATATTGCATATTCACCAATGAAATACTATTTGCAGCATGTTGGGGAGACCAAAACAAATCAAGCACTGCAGGAGTAAGATGATCAGCAATACCTCAGTAATTAATGGCGACCAGCAATGCCTCAGTAAGGAATGTCGACCAGCAAAACCCCAGTAAGGAATGTCGACCAGCAATGTCCCAGTAAGGAATGTCGACCAGCAATGTCCCAGTAATTAATGGCGACCAGCAATGCCCCAGTAAGGAATGTCGACCAGCAATGCCTCAGTAAGGAATGTCGACCAGCAATACCCCAGTAAGGAATGTCGACCAGCAATACCCCAGTAAGGAATGTCGACCAGCAATGCCTCAGTAAGGAATGTCGACCAGCAATACCCCAGTAAGGAATGTCGACCAGCAATACCCCAGTAAGGAATGTCGACCAGCAATACCCCAGTAAGGAATGTCGACCAGCAATGCCTCAGTAAGGAATGTCGACCAGCAATACCTCAGTAAGGAATGTCGACCAGCAATACCTCAGTAAGGAATGTCGACCATCAATACCTTAGTAAGGAATGTAGACCAGCAATACCCCAGTATGGAATGTCGACCAGCAATACCTAACTAAGGAATACCGACCAGCAATGCCCCAGTAAGGAATGTCGACCATCAATACCTCAGTAAGGAATGTCGACCAGCAATGCCCCAGTAAGGAATGTCGACCATCAATACCCCAGTAAGGAATGTCGACCAGCAATGCCCCAGTAAGGAATGTCGACCAGCAATGCCCCAGTAAGGAGTGTCGACCAGCAATGCCCCAGTAAGGAATGTCGACCAGCAATACCTCAGTAAGGAATGTCGACCAGCAATGCCCCAGTAAGGAATGTCGACCATCAATACCTTAGTAAGGAATGTAGACCAGCAATGCCCCAGTAAGGAATGTCGACCAGCAATACCTCACTAAGGAGTGTCGACCAGCAATATCTCACTAAGGAGTGTCGACCAGCAATACCTCACTAAGGAATGTCGACCATCAATACCTCACTAAGGAATGTCGACCATCAATACCTCACTAAGGAATGTCGACCATCAATACCTCACTAAGGAGTGTCGACCAGCAATATCTCACTAAGGAATGTCGACCAGCAATACCTCACTAAGGAGTGTCGACTTCTTAAATTCTTATTTGTAAATTGATAGGTATTTATTTTGCACTGACCACTTTCAAAATCACCATTCTCATATAATTCTTAAAGTTCAATGTCTCAGCTTTCGTTACTGTTAAAATTGGCGATGATTTTGAACTTTACCTCGGAAGCAAAAGATAAAAGATTTTTGTTTTTTGTTTTGTTTTGTTTTTTTTGTTTTTGTTTTTTTTTTTTTGTTTGTTGGCATTTTTTGTTTTTTGTTTGTTTTTGTTTTTACAGTGTGGATGAGTTGAATAGTTGGTCCTGTTTGACCATACTCAAAACATTATTTTATATATTTTTGTGCATTGCACTTGTCATTTTTATCATAATTTTTTTTATCATAACTATGTATATATTTATTAAAATCTTTACAATAAGATTTCTTATTTTTAATCAACGAACCCTTATTTGAATTGTGACCCCGATCACACTCAGCGGCTACGCACATGATGTAATGAGATCTTTCAAACACTTGCTGAGGATGTATTTTGTTCGATATAAATGGCTGTCGGTGTTCATAAGCCGAAGAGATCATCGGAACATTTTATACTATATATCGTTCTCAATTATAGTGTGTACCTTTGTCTTTGTTAATGGTCTATGAATATGATGTGACTTTTGGGTTGTGTCTTGAATAATGGACAGATTGCCTCAAAATATTGACAATTAACCCGTCCGTACTGTCGTTATTACTTCATTGATCGTATAAATACTATTTATTAGTTACTGCGATGTGGCGTTGATATATGAATCAGTAACTTTTGTCGGGAGCTTTAAAACATTACTTTCCATCATCGGTTGGTAGTCAACAAAGCACTAACATAGAATATTTCTAACGTTAAAAGAAAGCCAAACAACAAAACAAAAAGAACAATGCCTGTTGTAACAAATATAATGTGTTTGAATCAATCATGTCTAGATATGTAAAGGGATTTTTATGTCGTGCTTGTTCGAATACGAATAATCCACAAACTCTTAAAATTATCCCGTCAACTACAAACATGTTTATAAAATGTACTTATGTAAACATGGATAGTTTCACTACAATTATCTCAAAAAAAAAAATAATAAAAAAATAACTTAAACAAAAACAACGCGATAAACAAACAAATAGAAACGAAAGTCACAAATGGATTTTGTAGTTTTGTCACACTGTAACTTACCGATCCAGAAGTTTCCATTTAGATTTCCAAAACCGTTCTTGTATTCTGTCCAGGTACGATAAAAATCCACATCTGAACTTATTCGCCTCTGTATCACCTGCAATTAATTAAATCGTGCTAATCAAACACCAACTACACGTATGTCTTTCGATATCGACACTAGCAAGTTTCACTTTGATTACACATCCAGCAATTCTTTGTTTACCTACACTGTATACATGGTTTATCACTGGCATTTAAAAGACACGCTGCTCTAGTTCCATAACTGTACGACTTAATTTACGGTGAAGTGTTTTTCACCTGTGAAACATTGTTTTGTATACTTAACTTATAAATAATCAGTTTAACATGTTATAATTTCTAACATCTTAGTTCCATGTGAAACATTTCAGTCATCATTTTAATGTCATCTTAAAATATATTTTCGAAAATGAATTAATTTCTTTCCGGATCTAATAATAGTTTTATAAATTGCACGCCAATTTTGACCAAGTAGACTGGGTTTATAATCGTGAAACGATGCGGACTTGTGACGAGCATCACAGTGGAACATCACGGTGCCCAACGAAACAGAACACTGCTCACTGAGATCACAATGAAACTATTGTTTACTATCAGTCTCCATCAATCTGCTTATCTAGAAACCCTGGTGTGTAGGTTCCCCATTAGGTGTCGATATTACCACCTAAAGATCGTGACAATAGAACAAACCGTTATATGTCGAATGTGGAAAAACGATATATATAAGAAAGTAGGATATTGACTATCCAAAAATGGTCAAGTTGCGATCGAAAATTGACGTCATTTCGATTTTAAAAGAGATCACCTGTGCTGTTACTATGATGAAAAACTATGGGGAAGATTTATGGTCGCCATAGTGATCTTATTGAGATATATATATATTTCTATGTGTGATATGAAGCTGGACGTGTTTGATGCTCGTTAGTTAGCCTGTTGTTTCCGTTGTTGCATACCTTGTTTTTATTTCAGAACTTGACATTACAAGGTTTGCAAGGCAGGTGTCATCGATGAAGACGCAGACACTTACTCTTCCGGAGTACATGGTCTATTTCCCTTGTACTTTTTCAGTAGTCTTTGTGTAAATCTTTCTTTTGTCTATATTTTGCCCTAGTTTTATGGAACTTGAATTTGGATTATAAATATATTGCCATGTTTGTATTTTCTTTATTTTTTTCTTCAAATATTACGTACGACATATTACATTGTACGTCCCCAATGTGATATGTATTTAGACGTGCTTGATGCGCGTTAATAAGCTGCTGGTCCGTTGTGGGTTATCGTGTTTTCATTTGTGAACATGATTTATAGGGCGGTTGTCGTCGCTGAAGCAGGAGACGCTTACTCTTTCGGAACATCTTTTCTTGTTATCTTTGTACTTTTTACAGGAATTTCCTAATAAATATTTCTTTTGCTCATCTTCTGTCCTAGTTTTTATTGAATTTTATTTTGCATTGTAAGTCTGTTGACATGTTGGTATTTTCTACATACATACGCATAATACAGTATCTAGCTCACAACCATGCGATAGGATCGCGCGTTTTATGCGGTTGATACTATAAAAGTGTTTGATTAATTAAACGAAATTAAATTAATTGGAAATATTATGTGACTATACAACCGGATCGCGCTTTGTCTCACTATTGATTTCACAGTAGCAACAAAGATCGCATGTATACGGATATACACGGGTTTTTTTTAAAAGCGATAGAAAATTAAAATTGTAAATAGTACCTACGCTCGTTTGGGCATTTAATTCTGGGGAATTATACCCCGATTCATTTTATGTTTGGTTTTTTGTACTTGCATTTGTTACATCATTCCATTTCCATGTAGTTCTCAAGTCTATGTACCTGCCAGGGCTTGCCCTGTAAATCACGTGCATACACTTTACTCGCAATGAATTATTAATTACACAATTCCGTACTCGCAATGTTTATCACAACTTTTGTTGCAGTGGGGTCGCCCACTTCACCTTATAACCTTCAGGGTCGCCTGGTGGTTGTGTCAGCTTTTGAGGTTACACTTTCACTTTATTGTGTTGTAAGTAATTTTGCTTATTTATAATTAGATAGGTTTTTGTATCTTTGCTTTGTACCAGTTTATATTTTTTTTTGTAATTTTACTAGGAGGGTAAGATAGTGAGCAGGCCCTAAGATTGCCAAAACCTAGTTTAGATTTTTATTTCTATGTCCTGAACAAGGTAAAGTTAGAATTTTGATGTTTAATTAATTTTCATTTTCTCTGTCAAATGCTGTTTGTGTCATGTATAAAGTAATACTGAAGGAATGTGAATAAAATTTTCTTTGTGACTATAAGAATGTTTCGAAGTTTTATTGCTGAGACAAGAAGAGACGTCCATTAAACGCTTTTATATATAGAATGAGTGTTTGTACACTACAACTGATCATATGTGTCAGTTAGTAAACAAAATGTGCATATAGCTATTTCATATGTACCTGAAAGTTTACGTGTGTCCGATCTGTAAATATATGGCTTAATTAGGAAAAATACTAAATTTATATTAACCACGATAGGACCGCATATTGTGCACAAAGAAGCAAATTTCTAAGGTTCGCGTACATTGTACACTAATTCAAGGCCTTCCTATTGATTGTTATTCTCAGTTGTATATCCTAACGCAGAAAAAAGATCATTTTTCTAAAGCGTAAATATCAACTGAAAGCCATAACGCATGAACACGTAACATTGATCTCCTTTTAAAACTATAACTGGGTTTTTAAAATATGTATTATCTTGGTTTTATGATACATTAATTATTTAAAAACCCAAAGTCTGACTGCGTTGATAATTTTCTCTGATAAGACTGACACAGGAACAATAACCCGGCGTAATTGTTGCTAAAAGAGGACCTGATATACTATTTTTATAATGTTATGATAACTACCTTCAACCATCGCTTCAGCAATCATGATGGTAGAGTGTTCTGTTGTTGAAAGACTATCACATGAGTCATACTACACTTTCGTGTTATTTTTTGTTCTTGTTTATTTGCATGCTTTGACATCACATAAAGGCCCATGGACGATTTCGTTCACAAAATTTGAATTCTTTATTCCAAATAACGACATTTTAAATCAAATTATCCAGAATGTTTTAAAACGTGATGCTGATATTATACATCATGTGTAAATTGACATCAATATATAGGTATCAGAAGTCAATTTAAGGATATAGATATGGAGACAAACCTCGTTATCTCGAAGTCATAAGACTCGAAGACCTCAATTAATTCAAAATATTTCGTCGGTCCCGATCATGCTTCACTATGAAATTCGAACTCGCTTAAGTCGAATATTCAGATTACTCGACCTTTCATTAAATGATGTAAACATTAGAAACAAGCATTTTTCCTTTGTTCCTTGGACGTAAGTACCCCACAAGAGAAAATATGCTCGAGCAGAGTATTTTGTTTTCATAAGCATTTATTGGCCAGTGAGCGATTGTCATACTTGACGATTCGTTTATCTTTATTCCTATGAGTTCTGATCACAAGCTCCAGAGAATCTCCTACTCTGAAGAAGCGGAACTATTTTAAGTTCGTGTGCATAACCTTGCCAGATGGTTACATTCTGGACAGAGTAGGACGTTTTCCCCTGGAAGCGATAATAATGCTGCGATTATTACAAACCCAATCATGGGTAGTCTCTCTGGCTGGAGAAAGATGACATTGTTGTTGTCGATCTAGGGTTTAAGGATGTTTTGCCAGATTTGGAATAACTTAGTTTGACAACAAATAGGCCGTCTTATCTAAATCTTGGCAGACACAACATGACTTGATAGATTTATAACTAAATCCAGAAGGGTAGTGTAGTCAAGGATGATTCAAGCTATGGTTTGATGGAAGTTGGAAGTTGTAAGAACATTTAGTTTCTGTGGTACCAGGGGAAATTTCACCTTAGTGGGTTATTAGCGAAGGTGACAGTCCCTTTGTACTAATAAAACCAAGTGTAAACATTTGATTCAAAGTCGTTTTACAATACAGATTTTCCCCTTTGCTCATGTTTCCTAAACAAATGCATCAGAATATTGTCAATCAATTTTAATTACTTTCCACAATACTCCTAATGACAACTCTCGGGCAATTCATCACATGCTATTTGAAGATTTTTTGCACATAATTACGAACGAACTTCAATTTGAAATAGCATTTTTGACCTCCAGAAAATTTGCTTAATGTAAAATAGAACACCATCACATTTTGTCTCTTGTTCTCAATTTATCTCTAACATGTTATTATCAGCATGTTCATGTTTAGTTTTCTTTAAAAATTGAAGAAATGATATTGTAAAAATTTTTCCCGAAAACCATACATTTGTTTTCATTTTTGGCACAAAAATGGTGCTATATTCTCGCTTATGTACATGTTTGGCCTTCAATGCCTATTTGTAAACGTGCGACTACAGACGCTACCAATACCAAATACAAGCTGTTGTATATTTTTTCTTGTGCCACACCTTTGAAACCAATTTTAATTTGTCTTATAATACTGATAATTGCTAGTGTCTAGTATTACATATGAGAGGTATTGCTCTTCAAAAATAATTCAATATGATTTACCTTATTTTCAAGAGTCTGTAGAAGGGAACACATATCCCCGAAAGGTTGATTTTAGTACCCTTTTCCTATTGAAATACATATGCACACCATTCCAAATTACAAAACAAAAAATATATAAATTCATAATCTTCGCTGTTTTTCAGTCTGCTGACTGGATAATAAAAGCGCGATACTAACCGTCCATGGCCCATCTGCAGAATCCATGTCGCAGTACACCTCCATGTTGTTTCCTTCTGCTGTAGTGATCTTGTAAACTCCAGATGGATATTCATGTGGAATCTTTGAACAGTTGCTGTATTCTGAAACTAATTAATCAATTAAGGCAGATTGATGACACTGTTAAATCAGCAGTTGTATATTCAATATATGGATTATAGTAAGCAAAGTTTTAATGAGTCATTTTTTCATTTCCTTAGATAAAGCCTCTGTTATATTGAACTTTAAAAAATCTTTCAACTCAATATTTTTATCAAATAATGAAATTATGACACAAAACCAACGAATTAGGACACATACAACATCAAAATCAAAACTTATAGGTGCTATCCACATGTGTGTCTTTTGTACAGTCTTCGGAATTGCAGTTGGTAGACACTACCAGTGGACAGTTCCCGAGGTTTGCCGCAACCTGCTTGCTATGCTTTAATATTTGAGTTCAGAATGTACATTTACGTGACATTTAAAGAAAATCATTCCATATTAAGAATTATTCAATTTATTAGATATAAGGCATTATTTCAATCTTCCTTAGTAGCCACATAACTTTTAACAATTTTGGTCTTTAACATCTCTGACGAATCCAAGTAGGACGAATGAGCTGTATGATGCAATTTAATTCATTTGGGTCATCTGTATGAATGAGGATTATTTTAAAAGAACAGGTGAAATTTTTCATAGATTTCATATATGCAATCATACAAAATGTGTTTGTAAGTTAAAGTAATAAAAGGCGCCGCAATGGGTCTGTCGATTAGGGCGTTGTCTTACGTAATATCACATGCAAAACCCGAGGTATGTGGTTTGAATCTCCATACCTGAGACAGCAGGTGTATCTCATTAAGCTTAGAAACAAACTGACCGCTTTGTGTTATGGTAGTTGTTTCCATGGGAAGGACACGTTGGCGTGCGACGGCCCTCCCGCATGTTGTTCATTGAGGTAGTCACAAGTCACTACAAGGATTCCACGCCTCAAAATGACCGCAATAATTCACGGCTAACACCCCCATCACCCCACCCTCAAAAGAAAAAGAAATAAACAAGGATGAAAAAAAAATCAAAGAAAAATTTTGAATTACCCAAAATAAACACTAATAAAGAAAGATACTTACTCTCATTACTCTCAATCTTCGAGAAGTGCCAAGTCTCCAATGCTGCACTAGCGCTCTTGTCCTCAACAATCGAACGGGAGTAGGTTTCACATCTTTTGTCTACATTCGTGAATGAAAAAGAATGACATTCCTCATTGTCGCAGTGCTTTGCACAAATTGCAGGATTCGGGACACCTGTATTTGTATTGAGTAAATACATACTATGATTTGCAGTAGTTACCCGTAGAATTCTGGTAAACAGAAAGCGTTTCGTCTCGACTGTACCTGTTAAAAAGAGCAATGTCATAGCCAAATATTTTATTTCCATTGCCAAATTAATCCATGTAATGAAGTTAAAGAGACAAGTTTCATCGCAGCATTGTGTCACATCAACACACAAAACTTTCGGCGAATAGTGTGTTTCTGATGTGACGTAGCCGGTCTGGTGTAGCTGTTACTTCATGCCAATGTCCTGTCAACATGTATCCCTTATATGATATTCGACCGACTACTGCAACTGGCTGTAAAGACTACTGCTATCACGTCAGTCATACTATTGATCTGTATCGCTAGAGAATTCTCTGCTTCCTTGGTATGTTAATACCAGTGAACCATGGCCAACAAACACGATGCGAGTAAAAATCAAATAAAAACAAAAACAAAAACCAAAGCAACAAGCTCGTGTCATAATATTCATAAGTGACGACTACTAGGTATCTTCAAAACCACATTTATTTTATTCTTTTCCAAATATAATTAACTTCTATAGATCCCAATTCCTGTAAATTCATTTATTTTTTAATCTCATGGTTCTATAAAATCACATACTTTCGTTGGCACTTGATTTCGTGGATAAACCTTGTTCATGGAATCCTGTAGTGATTTAATCTCTCAGATTTGTACATTTTTGTCATTTCATGGAGATACAGATTTGTGGGTTAAGAGCAATCACGAACTGAATTTCCATCGCGAAAATGATTGACAATAAAAATCTTTATGTTCTAATTCTGAGGATCACTGAGTTACATAGACATGCATTTAACAAGAGATTAGTATCAATGGATCGAAATGGGAGATGAATACCAGGGTATCCTCAAGAAAACAGACAACATCGTCTAATCTAATCAGATAATGGAGTCCATTTGACCATTTTATAAAGTTGATTACACTAGCTACTTATCTACTTCAGCTTTCTTACTTAGACTGACCAAGAGTTACATGGTGGGTGTGGTCAACAATTCAGAAGACGCTTACCCTTCCGGATCATCTTGTCTTATTCTCTTGGTAATTTTTCAGGACTTTCTGTGTAAATCTTTCTTTTGTTCATATTTTGCCCTTTTTTATTGCACTTGCGTTTGGATTATAAAATTACATATATATGTATGCTGACATGTTGGTATTTTTTTTCTTTTTATCAACTTACATTTCTGTATAACAGGCGATTGACTCGAACTGCACAAGTTTCAGATTCTACATCGCTCGATGATTCATTAGGAATTACAAAGTTTATCATTCGAACACTTACAGCTTCAATGCATACATGCTCATTGCTAATCGATGTGAAAAAAAGAAAAAGCATTAGAAATACTGAAATGTCAGCCGCATCTCATTTCAAATTCAAATTCGATTAAACTAAGGAGACAACGGAAAAGCATAAATACAATAAGACCAGGTGTATCGGAAGTTTTGGCAAGCGTAGTAAGTAATGCCATGTTACCAAATGAGAGAGAAAGTTTTCAATAACGAAACTACTAAGCATATTAACGAGAATCAAATAAGTCCGACTTCCTATAGCACAGAGAAGCAAAATAGCCAAAAACGAGAATTTTATGCCGAAATGACAACAACTAAATCGAAATTAAAAAACCCATGGCAGAATATGAACCAAAGAATAATTTGCCAGTCGTAAAATAGATATAGAAAGCAACGCCAACGCTAAACGTCTTTTGCTATATCATCAATCATTTAAGGTTATATGAATCCATGTTATGTCGCAAAAACAGCCATTTCCATCAGTCGTTACGATCACTTCGTTTCAGAAGAGAACTTTAAAATATTAAGATCTGCCAAATAAAGTTAATTGAAGAAAATTGTATCATACTGTAGTTTCCTCCCTCCAGGACTTGTTAGTGATACTACATTGTAAAGTACTTTTGTCCCTCTATGATTCGCCAGTGATGCTACATCATACAATAGTTTCGTCATTCTAGGACTCGTCAGTGATGTTACACCATACAGTTGTTCCGTCCCTCTAAGATTTGTCAGTTATACTACATCATTCAGTACTCTCGTCCCTCTAGGACTCGTCAGTGATGTTACACCATACCGTCGTTTCGTCCCTCTAAGATTTGTCAGCTAAACAGCTTAACAAAAAACCAAATTTTACAAAGAGAAAAGATTACAACAAAAAAGTATGAACCAAAGAACATTTAACATGAAGATTGTTGAAAAGTACAAGTAGGAAACACCAGATGTTCCGAAAGGGTAAGCGCCCTTTGTGTCATTGAAGACATCCGCCATGCGAGTTCATATATTTCAAAGTCAGTATTTATAGAAAATTAATTTATTTAACCTAAGGGATGAAAAACTTTACAATTACTACTTAAGTTGACTTGATATGGAGAACATATGTTTTGGGGAAAAAACATTAAAATCCAGAAGAGTAAGTTTAAAAGATCAAGAATCAAGATCTGCTAAGATAAAGTTCCTTAGAAAGGACGGCACTCAGAATCAAGGATTATGTAGGATTTTGTTATTGAAAGAATGTCGAGTTCGAATGTATTTCCTGTAGGTAATGCCTACAGCAATGTACACATCCCGGCTCTATGGAACGTATAGAAGTTCAGCACAGCATTTACATATCTCCAGTGTGAAGTGTATCAGCACATCTTCAACAAATATGTTTGAACCCTTTATATTCATCATTGATAAGGTGGAATTTTTACAAATGTCGTTGTTTTAAGATCGGGTTGATTTAAGGCTAGTTTTGTTCCAGTTGTTATGTATTTCTGCTTGTTTTGAAACGTAAGCATTTTTTTTCAAAGACATAATGGAATTCAATTTTATGTATGCCTGAACGGCTCCTGACTTATTGTACCAACCCATAGAAATAGCAACATTGCATATTACACAAGGTACTTTCGGAATGATTAATTTATGCTGTGCATAATGTCACTATAACAATCTTCAGTGCAATGAACCTTCTGTATAATCTTATATTTTCACCAGGCAATAAATACGTTCACGGCCATTTATGAGACTGAAACAAAATAAACCAGAAAATACCAACATGTCAAAATAATCACAGGGTAAAATCAAATTAATTTAAACTAGAGCAAAATATAAACACAAGAAAGATTTACACGGAAACCCTTTAAAAAGTACAAGGAGTGTAAGACCTGGTGTTCCGGAAGGGCAAGCATCTTCTGCTTTAATGACGACACTCGTCATATCAAACAGTACTGTAATTGTACAGTATTGTAATATGACATATTTTCGCAGGCATCAAACTTTTAAAAGTTTCGTTGACACTTGGTTTAGTGAATAGGCCGTATTCATCAAAACCCCATGTACTGAGTCAGTAATAGCTCATTCTGCAGAATGTTGTGTCCATGCATGGTCTGGTAAAGATCCGAGGTGCAGGTATCGACGCTTCTTACCCGTGTTGGTTTGTGTTCTTCAGGAAGCCGAGCAACTGACTGGTCTGTGTTGTTGTGGTTGTGTCAGTGGGCAAGACACTTCACTCTAGTTGCGTTGGACAGCATGCAACACACCCATCTTCAGTACTGCAAGAAAACCTGCCTCAATATGACTCTGGTTGTTCATGGGTCGATAAACAAACAAAAAAGTATATAATTTCATGTACCGGTTACAAAATAGCAGACATATAACCTTTTGAGAAGATTAGCAAAACTCCCTTGTTGAAATAATTAATAAAATATGTCTTTCATGATTGAAGGAGTGAAACAAATTGTACAAGTAGTATAGCATATAAATGTATATCTGTATCAGATTAACAGAAAAGTAATTACTGATGACATAAATTCAGGAACCCTTTGGGAGATATTCGATCGAACATTTTCATTGGAAACTCAATAAAGTTCTGGCTTTATGTAAGTATTGCAAGAATGATGTTACGTTGATTGCGAAGAGTTAATAATTTCAGCTGCAAAGTTGTAAGAAAAAAGTACGTATTGATTGATCTTGAGTACAATTACCTTTACTTATAGCGATGATTAGCAGTGAAATTATATGCCGTATAATTAAACATAGTCAATTCATTTTGTCGTTCACCAAAACAGACACGTATTGATTTGAGGATGGTTGGAAAGTCCTGCACCCTATTGAACAACACACAAACCCCACTATGACATAAACTGGTCGGCTTTAGCGGGAAATCCCCTTTTTAAATTAAGTCTATTGTTATATACTTAGTTGCTCATCTAACAAACACAGAGAAATATATCTCAAGGCTAGAATAGCTCTGCCTTATACTCCTGAATTACTGTACCAGATGTCCTACAAAATGTACGTTATATCCCTAACAGCTATATGAATGGGTTAAGTACTTAACTATCAAACAATTTCAAACAGAGAAGTGAAAATTTTAGAAAATATTTTCAACTTGTAAGAAACATTAGTGAATAGTGTTTCCATTAAAACTTCTATTCGTTTTTGATCAATCAAAACATAAATAGCAGAATTTAGCTTGCTGGACTTAAGGGGAAAATACAGAACAGGTTTATGTCCCAGAAATTTGACATCTGTGTGACATACAGCCTGCATCTATAAATCTTTCAAGTATTCATGATTAAATTCACCAGATTCTCAACGTCTGTCATATTCATAAACGCTCACTGTTCTCCTATGAGACATGAAATATATCTTTAGAACGTTGTGTAAAAGAGCTGCCTTGAATAGAACATCACATTGTTAGCCACAAATATATGATAACTGACAATTATGTAGGACTTTCGCTGTTGTTCGCTTCACTAATAACATGTACTGCATTTAAATTACTTATTTCTTCGTTTGAATGCCTCCTCTGGACATGTTAGTCTTGCTCTTGTTTGTTGTCTTCAATTAAGACGAGAAAACGGAAGCTATTCGGGGGTCAACTTGTTAGGTGATTAAAATGTTTTACTGAAGACACGCAAGTGAATGGCACCGTTAATCAATTTTATCATTAGTTACATTAGTGCCAAAAATTGAACTAAACTGTATTATACAGCTATTTCGTCCTTTTCGGACTCGTTAGTGATACTAAGGGTCTATATTGTTGAAACCTAGAAAGCGAATCAGGAAAATCAGAATAATCGAATGAGTAAAAATCTAGATTTAACGATGTTAAAAAACAAATACATATTTCGCTTAAAAGTGTTACTTATCTCGTTAGTCGTTGAACCCTAGTTATCTCGTTTTATCTCGTCGAAATTGTTCGTGTTGAAAGGAGTTGGTTATCTCGTAAAGATACCGTATTTACCCCATTAAAATGTTTTGGTGGTCTCAATAGAGATAGGCTTTGGATACTGGATACTTTGAAATATCCCCAGCTGTAAACTATATGAACATTTGTCAAATATATTGGTTTTATATTTTAGTATCACCACTTGCTTACGACTATGTCTCCAGACTATATATTACAGGTAACAGAGAATTTATTTCACATTCTCAAATCTCATTTCAGGAGACTTTGAATTAAATATCAGATTTACAAAAGGAATAGTTTAATGAAATGCGTTCTTTTTCCCATTCAAACTAGTGTTGTTTTCTTACTATCACCATAAAGCGTGATCGTCAATACATTTGCAATCACTAATTGTTTTTTTTTTTTTTTTTACAAATATTCCACAGCTATCCCAAAATGGAAGAAGACGGGCTCTCTCAATGCTCATGGGAGGTAGCATTCAACAGCAGGGTCACAAATCGGCTATAAGTGTTGATGACAGACCGAGATCCGGATGTCAACGTGTAATGTCGCGAAGTAAATATCGGTTCTCTAAGCTTGTCCACTTGCGTGACAGGAGATTAATGACAGCCGAAAACGGCGCGAAATGCCATTGGTAATTGAAACCGTCGAATCTAACAAAAACTAAGAAATAAACTTCGAGAGGAAAATTTCACCCACGCCGCGAGTATGTTGGTTTGGACACCTTTTGAAACGTCGAGCACGTCGTATGCGATGGTTGACGGCAAATGTGGCAGTTAACATGTGTACCGCATCGAAAAGAGCGTCTTGCAGACGTGTTTTGGAGTACAGTTATGGTT